GTTGCAGAGTGTACGCCCCGAGATATGTGGGTCGCGCGTTTTTCGTTTTTTTTCTCTCTCCAGTTTTTAGGTTAGCTTGTTAAAGGTTGCGAGACCGGGTTGAGGAATTTCGGTAATCAGTTAACATCAGGTGAACCGCCTGCTTGCTTGACAACTTTCACAAAAAAAAGCTCATTAAGACCATGATTCCATGACCATCGTGGAAAACTAGATTCCGTTCATAAAAAAGTGACTTCATTTTATCGTAAATGACGGCTGACTCATACGGGATTTTTAACGAATAAAACCTCAATGCATGCTCGCTGCTGTCGGGTAAAGCCTTTTTTGTTAGAAGGTGCCAAGCGAGTAAGCGATCCACCCGAGTTAAGTGATAACCGCCGCACATGGACAATCACAACATCCATAGGGTTGCAGTTGCGTTGCCACCTTTACATAACTTTATTTAGGCGGTTACCTTACTCTTCAGACGAAAGGCATTAGTGTGACACTTACACTTTACGCCGGTCTTTCGCGAGATCGTGGTATCCTCCTGACGGACGTGCCCGTTCGTGCAAAAGAGAAGACCGTTGCTTGGCCCTACCACAGTAAAATGTAGCGATTCCGTTGCCTTAGAAGAAGGCAATGGTGCGTCTTCCTTCACCCACGCACTAAGCAATGGATTTTTGCTACGCGTTTCAAATCATTTCGACCCTGTCTCGGCGTTCAGTGTCGGCGGAAACTTCCCGTGCGGCTCGCTCAAGTCTAGTGAGGAGTGCACGCGTTTTGAATTTCGAAGCGTTTTTCATTTATTACTTTTTTTCATTATTCCACCTTGAAAAGAATTTCTTTTTTTTATATTCGCACATTAATAAAAAAAATATATAAACGAGAAGTTTCAAATTTAGAATGCGAGCATCGGTGGCTTTACATTGTTAGTTGGAGTGTGGCGCAGTGCCGCATTGCGGATGGAAGCGCAAATTGTGCAAGGGTGCTGCGGCCTGCCATATTGTTTAGTTTTCGCTACACCATAGTGATTCTCTTTCGACTAATTGGGTCGTATTGATGTCGCAGAACAGAATGCTGCAGACATTTTTATGAAGACATGGAATTATTATTTTTTTTACCCTTATGATACCCATAAAAGCGACGCCATGAACTATTTTATACCTACAGAGATATCGTTTTCGAATATAATTTACATAGCCCCGAAGCCGTAACACTGGCCGACGAGATTTGACGTTGATGAGGCGATTCACCGCCTCATCAACGTCGCGTCGCGTAAAGAATCGCGCGTTTTGCGAGCGTGGCCCACGCGTCCCTCGACCAATGGCGACGCTCCGCTCAAGGCCGCCCGCGTGTTCAGCGCTCGTTGAGTTGTCGTTACACCGCCGTGCTTTAGCGCCTGCGATTCTCGCCTTATTTTCTTTGTACTTAAGATCGATTATCGCGACTCGCGTGGCGCCATCTCCGTTATACTCTACACGTGGATTGCAAATTCGCGAACAGGGTCGACGAATTGTTTTTTTTTTGTCGTATCGATAACGTTTCAATATTAATAAGTTACATATTGCTTTTACACTGTGAAAATATAATCGGCTGATACATAAAGATACACAAAATTGGTAGACTTTAAGATATAATGGCAAATATAATAATGTTACTTGTAATATCTATAGTTTTGCACCGATTAGTAATACGATTACTAAAAATAATTTAAATTTTCAGTTGTTGTAATATCTTATGTATATGCTGCTGTTGCGTTTGATCCAAAATACATCAATATAAATACAGTAAAATCTTAAAAAGTTTTTCATCTCGAGTATAATTTTTAAATTCTATATAAACATTCTCCAAAAGTTGCAATATGGAAACAACGTGACAATTTATAATTATATCCTTAAGTACTTAGTATTTATCTATGCTTATTTAAAAATTCATTTATCGACACGCGCATCGAGCCCATCACTATAACGCATTATGATAAATATTTTTTTTTGTTGAACTCGCGCCGTTGCTTTCGGTGTTGCGCGTCATGCGAGGTGATGGCGTAAATTTGCTCGCTTCTCGATTACTTTTCCGCTGTGACGTCACAGACGTCTGAGCGGTCGAAGTGCGCGCGTGCCTTTGGTGTGCGTTGATTCGTGCGCCTTTTATCTTATCTTTTATCGTTTTATATAGCTTTGTTAGTTAAAACTTTGACGGTGGCCGGCTCAGTGGCCGGGCGCTTGCTTTTTAGTTTGAGTTAAAATCCCAATTGCATAGGTGGCAGTGGCACCCACTACGACGGCTGAAATGAAATTTTTTTTTCGATCTTTTGTACCGATTTGCAACGACGTTGAGGGAAAACAACCATGACCTAAACCTTCTTTCTATAGGATCTTGTGCCTATCAGTGGGACACACATATTATATAGGTTACTTACATTGTGATTGCTCTCGTTTCTGAATATATTTTTTTACCAAAATCGGTCCGAATATTACTTTGACTGGACTGCTCTATCTAGCATCTACGACATCCTTGCTCTCTTCGCAACCAACATTTGCGATAGCGGTCGACCATTGGCCAGTTACATAATAATTCGATTTCACATTATTAGTAATTCGCCAGTTTGTGCCAACCTGTTTGTTTTCCTAGTCTTTCGCCAATCACAAGTTTGTGCATAAAAACACATAATTTAGCCTATAATTATTATGTCTCATGTCTTGGGCGACTGAGATACCCTCGGCGTTTTCTTCTATAAAATCGTGGTTTTTTTTCTGTAATGTTACGCGACAAGGTATATTCTTGGAATAATATCGAATAGTATCAGACGTGTCAGTCTACTCTTTGGGATTGAAGCCTGAAGGTGTGATTGTTTGCGAAAGCAACCGTTTGTTCTCTACACGTTTAATGGCGTTTATTCTTAGCTCACGATTCGGGCTCCGCCCAGCCACTGCCTTTTTTTTTTTTGTTCAATTATTTTTATCAGCCATATTTGCCGTTCGAATGCGTCAAAGAAACGATAGTGCCGATTAAGCGTATAATTTCGCTAAACATAATTATCGCGCTTGGGATACGCCGTTCGCGGCTATGATTTTTGATGTCGGTCGAATTTTTCATTGTCATCGATGTATGCTGAGTTTCTTCACGAGTTGGTGATGAGAAATGGCGATTTAGTCCTAGGCAATTTAAGAAAAGTAGTGATGGGAACGTTAAGGGAAGTGGCCTATTTTTCATTTCATAAGAAGCGAGTTGACGGTTCATTTGATTTTGAGCGATAACCAAGTATAGCACTTCAATTTCACGCAGGTCTTGTGTGAGGTCATGCTACTTACCCAGACAGACCTGCCCATTGATGTAACATCAATGCGTTGCATGGCCTGGTCCAGTCAGTTTAGAAAACAACATAAAAGAAATTATTTTCCTTATTTTATCACCGCTTGAATGTGAGCGTTTTATAAATATTAATTGTGCTTTATAATTACATCTCCGCAAATAGATAACTTGTACTTATTATGAGCTACTGCTTGATTAACACTAGTGTTCTTATACCGTTTTTAACAAAAGCGAACGATTCTAGTAATAAATTCCTGCCGCCGCTGTCTCAAAGCTACTAATACAGGGAGATTTTTTAAGAAGTGCCCAAATTTACACAGGTTTGGACTCAGTAGTATAATCGTTTATTAATATAAACTTTAATTATTAAATTAAACGATTATACTACCGAGTCTGAACCTCCTGTGTAAATTTGGGCACTTCTCAAAAAATCTCACTGTAAAGCCATTTACGCCGACCGATATTTTGCAAATTGCCGCCGATCACGGGGTAAATTTTAACCGCATGAATGACTAGCTGGACGCCAGTAAAGAGCGACCGCTTGATTAAATAGAGGCGAACACAAAGGCGGGAGGTCCGTGTAAGGGTTCATTCAGGACTCTGTACAAGGGCCACCGCGTTTAATGGGATTGAGAGGGGTCCAAATTGAATGGGATTCGCAACGGTCGTATGTCCGATCGAAGCTATGCTTCCTTTCAATGCGGGCATCCCATTCTGTGACCGCGACATTGAGCAATTTTCACGTCGTAATTAACTACAATAATTGAAAGGCGCAATCCTTAGAATACATAATAGTATCCTGTGTTGTAGGGCCTTTGCGTATACCAATTTCTACGAGTCGCAAAATTACTTGGGTTTGTTTTTTTTGGTATCGGCGGATTTGGTATAAAAGGATACCCTGTCATCTTACATGACAGGGGTCATGTGGGATTCTTACCGGTGGCCACCTTCTGTACGTTTAGAGGGACTCCGGGATCTCCCACGGAACGCCACCGGTGTGCCTCGGTACTGCGCGTGAGCACGCCTCGGAGAAGGATAGACCTTCCCCGATTCCCTCGCCATCACGCTGCAGCTCGAGACCACTTCGTGTTGTTGCCAGGCCGTGTCTCCTTTTAGTCGCTTCTCACGACAGGCAGAGAAATACCGTAGCCCGCCCTATTCTGTGAGCCCGAAACTACAGGACTGGCGACGACGATGCCTATTGCTCGACAAATCTCCAATTGTAACTTAAATGTAATCTTTATTTCACTGCTGTATAACACACGAGTGACAGTAAAACATTGTCTCGGCTGTTAGTAAACATTTTACAAGAAAACATAATCGCAAACATCGGATTCTACACATAAATTTTTGTCGGACCTAATTTGAAATAACCTCACGTTGAAAGACTATCTGATCAGTTATGTTTGTAACTTATGAGAATCTGTACACATTGCGCATGATTGTCACGTGCACTTTTAAACCGCGTTGATTTTGTGCGGTAATATTTTATGTCTACTAGCGACTAGCATCGGCATCCCACGGGTAGCATTAATTATCCACAAATAAAATGCTCCGGTCTACACCAAACTTCGGTCTTGTCAGAAAATTTAACGAAAATCTATTCAGCCTAATTTAATGAAAGTCCATAAAGAATACACGCGTAATTTTTTTTATTTATGTGCATATGTAATTTTTGCATTGTGTCGTGGCAACACCGACTCAAGATGGTGGTCGCTTGTTGCAGAGGCATCAGTACAGAGCGCGGAGAGCGGGCGGACTGTCGCGTCGGGAGTGGGCCGCTGCCGACGAGCGTGCATGACGCTACACACGGCGAGCAACACTGCCCGCAGGTGAAGCCACTCCTCATCACCATTACAAACCGAAACAACCCACCTTGGTGTGGGTTGCATTGGGACCACTCTAGACTGGCCGTCGTATCGTCCCACCCTGGCCGAGGAAGCGGCAACGCAGTCTAGAGTCTAGTCTAGTATTTTCCGAAAACATAAGCGAAGCTAAAAACGGAATTCTGGAGTCGATTGTGGTACGACGGGGGTCGGTTTCATTCGAAAAGTGAATCGGTGGCGCCGTTGCGCCAAGCTATCGGTTTCGGCATCGAAAACCGTGGGTTCGATTCCCGCACGGAACAAGTATTTGGTTCGGTTTGTTTGACCCACAGATATTGTTCCGGATCTAGGTGTTAGTTCCCGAAGGAGACGAAAATATAGCAAAAACCGCATACAACATGATGCTAATGATATGATGGTGTATTAGAAAGATAAAGTAAACATACGAAATAGTACCAAAAGCAGTCGGGCTGGTTTTCGTCTGTGCCTAAGTTCAGGCAAATCGGTACGCCACTCGCTAATTTTATCTTGTTACTTCAGGCTTTTGCCTCCAAAATTTTTCGTAAGTTTAAACCTGCTAGGCGAGGTTCCAATTATTTTGAGCACACTACGAAAAATCATCACTAAAATACGAATGTTCACTTATCATGCAGTAAACATGTGCAGGTGAAATAGATGGAAGAGTATTAACGCGACCTTACTTAGAATAGGAGCCATAGTAAAGACTAAAACAGGGACGGGGGTGACTTTTATTTTATGTAAGTAGATGGCAAACAACCTGGCGGTTCACCTCACTCAGACGAAACGCAAAAATACAACACTTCCACTTCACGCAGGTCTTCTGTGAGGTCGTGGCCCAGGCGGACCTACCCATTCGGGCAACAGCGAGTGCCGCTGCATGGTCCTACCACCAACATTTTAGGTGGTTGGGACACTAGGGGATAAATTTGCGTGGCATTGGCGTAACGGTTGAGCAGGGAACGAGTGACTTTGAGGGGTATGTGGGGGGGGGGGGGGGTTGAGTTTGGGAGCGAGTGACTGTGACGTTGCGCGGCGCGTGTTGCAGAGCGTCGAAGTTCAGCGGCAGCAGGCACCGGAAGCTGCTGCCTCTGCGGCAGACGTGACTGGCGCGCGCGCGGGCCCCCGCCCCGCACGCGTCCCGCTGCGCGCTCGCTCTGTAGTACAGGTAGGTAGTGTTGGCCCCGCGAAGAGGGGATAGGGGGGGTGGGGGGGTGTGTCAGTTTAGTCGGTTCGACGGGAGGGTCGAGAGCCGAACACGACGAGCCGTGTAGGACGTCGAGACGTTTTGGAGGAGTACAGGGATGCTGGTTTGTAGACGTTGGTGCCAAGATTGGCGGAATAACAGGACAAGGTCAGTAGCACCGTCTCGGGAATCGTTGGCGTAGTTTTGTTGCGCGGAAAAGGATGTCGCAAAGCGTCTATAGACCACAGATAGTATGTCCAGGGATTTCAGGGAATCTAAAAGATAGTATGTGCGTACTTACGCGTCAGCAACTATGCGCATACCATCTGAAAACGTGACAATTTCGGACAAACGTCAATTTGAACTATACCCGTCTAAGGCTCATGGACGCACTCCGCTTACAACCAGATACCGCCCAAGGCTCTTTGACCTTTGACACGGACGCACGAAGCTTATTCCCGCGCACCCTTGTTCCAGATCCAGTGCCACCAGCGTACCACCACCAGGTTAATTAGTTAGGTCACCTAGCGTAGTTTTGTACGAGCGATCGCCCTCAGCCTAGGCCTGGGCCAGGGCCGCTCCCGCCATGGGCTCCCTAAACGTGAACCGCAATGTGGCGGACGCCTTCTACCGCTACAAGATGCCGCGCATCTGCGCCAAGGTCGAGGGGAAGGGGAACGGCATCAAGACGGTCATCGTGAACATGCCAGAAGTGGCGAAGGCGCTGGGACGCCCTGCCACCTGTGAGTACCTGAACCTACTGCATATTTATTTATTTATTTATTCAAAGTCAGTCAAATTTTCTTTAAGCTCTTATTGAACGTCAAAAAACTGTCCAAGTGCCAATCTGACTGAAGCACGAAGGATTCCGTGGTGTTATCTTCGCCGTTATAAAAACGACAAAGAATCATGTCTATTGTATGGGAGCCACACTTAAATATTTTTTTGTAATGTTGTTGTGAGACAGAGAGAGATGCAGTCTGGTGACCGACACAGACAGACTGCGGAGTCTTAGTAATAGGGTCCCGTTTTACTCTTTGGGTACGGAATCCTAAAAAAATACCATCGGTTCACTTAACTAGACCGGACCAGAAAAGAACCGACAAGAAACTCTGCGGTCTTGTCTTTTTTTGATGATACAAGCTTACTCAAATCGCTCAGTGACCCTTTATATACGGCCGAATTTCGATCGCCTTATGTGGAAGAACAAGATAGAACTAGAATAAGCTTGTCTTTTAAGACTCAAAAGACATTAACAGACAAGAGGAAAAAGTATTTGTTTTAAAACGAATAAGACATAATGAAGAAAATTACAAGGCCGCGAGTGAAAGCTGTACTCGTAAAGGCCACTTCCGAGCCAATAAAGCAAGGAAGCCAATAAAGGAATAACATGTTTGAGTAATTCTGTCAGTTTTCGAATTCATTAATTATTGCATTCAGCCACCTGCCTCTGAAGGTTTACCACCCATTTAACGAGCCTGGCCCTAGCTCTTTGGTCGGGTCGCGTCGTAAAAGTTGGCTTTGAACGCCCACCAATTGTCGTTAACGCGATACAACTCCGAGTGTGTTGTTCGGATGGAGTTTACGACGAGTGCTTGTAATATGTGCGTTTTCAAATTGCGGCTAATTCTCACGAAATTTATATTTCATTACGTAACTCTTGGCTCGGACTGTTTTTTCATTTTCAATACTGTGTGCTGGTAGCCATCCCTGTCGGTGTTTAATTACCGTCGATTGCCAATAGTTGGCGCTGTTTATATTAATTTAGTTTATCTTTAAAAAAACTTTTGCTTATTCTTCGTCATTAGAGGCAATGTGGTCCTAAAATTTAATGGAAATATCACTTGACATTTAACGTACCGGTAAAGGAAAACTATTGACAAATGAAAAATATGATTGTATATACTTGACATTATATGATTTCAGACCCCACCAAATACTTCGGCTGCGAGCTGGGCGCCCAAACTCAGTTCGACTTCAAGAACGAGCGCTTCATTGTCAACGGCAGCCACGACTCTGCCAAGCTGCAAGACCTGCTGGACGGGTCGGTGCCAAACCATTACCTATGTCAACGACTTTGAGTACCTAATGTTGTTAATTTTATGTAAATCTAAGTACCAGAGTTTTTTCCACCCGTGCGAAGTTAGAGCGAACGTGGAAAATGCACCGGTTGAATTCAAATTCAAATATCTTTATTGAATGCTAGCGGACCCAACAGACGTTGTCCTGTACACGCGACTTAAATCTGACGACAATCTAATTGTGAATCTAAACCATTCTCGAATCGATCTGAAGACCCAAAAAAATTTCATCAAAATCCGTCCAGCCGTTTAGGGGGAGTTCAGTGACATGCACACGTATGTCGACCGGAGGAAGATTACTGAGCGAAACGCACCCCACCTCTGTTCAGGTTCATACGGAAGTTTGTGCTGTGCCCCGAGTGCGACAACCCCGAGACGGAGCTGATCGTGTCGACGAAGCGCAACAGCATCTCGCAGGGCTGCAAGGCGTGCGGCTACCACGGCGCGCTCGACTTCAACCACAAGCTCAACACCTTCATACTCAAGAACCCGCCCGCCGCCGACCCCAGCGTACAGGTATAGCGCGCTACGGCGTAGCTATTAAGAACCGCTCAAACTAGCTTCTTCATACTCAAGAAACCGCCCGCCGCCCACCCCAGCGTACAGGTATAGCGCCCTACGGCGTAACTACGAAGATCCGCCCAGACTAGCTTCTTCATACTCGAGAACCCGGCCGCGGCCAATCCCAGCGTTCAGTTACTGCGCGCTACAGGCCCTACTGCTACGGCCTAGCTTCGACGACCCGCCCTGTCTAAGCTTTTACATACTCAAGAACCCGCCCACAGCCGAACCCAGCGTTCGGGTACCGCGCGCTACGGCAGTAGCCTACGGCGTAACTTCCACGATACGCCCAGTCTAGCTTATGAGAGGGTGGTGACCTAACATGCTACATTTCAACGCTACGGTGTAGCCAGTGCCACCATGTCACGAGTGAGAGGAGATACGCTGCAACACATGCTGGATTTTGCATGGAGTTTGGGCACGAACGATTGAAGACAAATCACGCATCAGTTTGAACATAAACTACAATTTTATGATTCACAATGTAATACTAAACTCACAATGATATACTAATTATATATCTAATACTAAATTGACAGACTAAAATTATTTGGTTCATACATTTCTAACACTATTTATATGAGCCGTGATGGCTTAGTGCCCGGACGTTTACAGTTCTAAAACTTCCCTTTTCCCGTGTTGACGCTTTATTTCAGATGTTGTGGAAGTGGCCTATTGATGAAAGTGTATGTTGCAGGGCTCCTCACTGACGGAGGGCAACCGCGGGAAGCGCTCCAAGCGCTCTGGTCCGCCAGCCAACGGCAACCACGATGGCCAGGAGAACCATGATGCCAAGAATGTATGTTTTCTCATTTTAATTATACTTTCCATACAGGGTGGCTTTTTTAAAGGCCGAATTTCAATGCCAAAAATCACATAGGGGGTTCAGACTCGGTAGTATAATCGTTTATTAAAATAAAAACAAACGCTTTTTTTTTTTTTTTTTTTAAAAAAAATTCCATCTATTCTTTAAAAAACAGAACGTGTTGACAATGCGTTAGTCATTGTCATGACGTTCTGTTGTTATATACGTCATAATATATATTTGAAAAGAACTTGTGTGCGTGTTCGTTATCATTGGACTCGCGTAAAATAAATGAGTTGTACGCACTTTTTGAGATAAGTTAAAATGAATGTAATTAATTAATTACGAGTAATTTTAAATATTTATCATTTTTTTATATAACATGATCTATGTCTAGAATTTAATAAAAAAAAATGGATACACTTAGAAAAGCCTCCATGTATAAATTTCTCCGTACAAAACTAAATTCAAAATATCTTTATTCTTATAAATAGACACTCATCAATTTTCTGCACACATGCACAAGTCGTCTCTCCATCTAGTCTACCTACACTACAATGGCCAATTCCCGGTGCCCCTCAAGAACCTTTCTTCCCAATTGGTTATCAGTTCTACGAGCCATAAGGCCCGTCTGCCATAAGCCTGAGCTATGGTGATTGATGATGAGGGGAGACTTAACTTCAGCAGTGGACTCAGAGGCTGAAATGATGATGATAGACACCTAGCTGTCCTAGGTTTGATTACCACCCGGGCTACATTTTATTGATTTCTGTAAAATAAACAATACTGATAGGAACGGGAATTAACTTGCGATGACTCGTTCTGCAGGACGGGGACGCACCCATCACCCCCGCCACGCCCAACCCGAAGAGCAGCAAGAAGGAGAAGAACAAGCACGATGACGATGACGACGGCACCTGGACGGTTGACGTCAGCGAGGAGGCGGTGCGCGCGCGTATGCAAGGTGAGCTGATGACTCTATACGCTTTGCCAGGGTAGATCCCGAACAAAATTACTAGAATGCCAATATTGGGCATAGTGTTAATTTACTTTAAATCAATCTTAATAATTTATATATAAGCCCTTATAACTTCAACCGGTTCAACAACAATCAATCAGTCAATAGTTGATGAAGTTTCAGATATGAGCGAGTCAACAGCTTAACTTCAAATTGATTTTCTCTTAATATTACAATGTATATTAAGAATATTTTTTTAAATTCCTTGTAATAAACATCATATTGGTTCATTAGTGTCATGAAAGTGTAGTGATTATGGAAATATTTCGTCATTCACATATGTCCCATTGAATAAACTTGTCTATAGGGATTGCTGAAGATTGAATTTCAATTACAGACTATATGTTGTTATCATCGTGTTGTATTGTGAATATATGAAAAATGAATGAAATGTAAATGTAAACGTCAACGGTTGCAGACCTGACGGAGGGCGCGAAGAGCATGACGCTGTCCGAGGACACGGAGAAGAACGAGAAGCAGCGCATGGACCTGTTCTACGCGTTCGTGAAGCAGCGCGCCGACTCCGCGGCCGCCGAGGGCGGGAAGGCCGTCAGCGACATCGTGCACGAGGCGGAGCGGTGAGGGCCTGCAGACTATTTGCTGGAACCGACCGTTGTGGCAGCTGGATATACTCTGGATCCCAGGAAGATTAAAGCTCTAGCCATCACATGCGAGAGCAGTAGGTGTTTCAGCTGGTATTAAGTACCATATGCCCAGCCCTGTAGTCCCGGGCTCATAGAATAGGACTATGGTATCACCTGTCAGTCGTAAAAAGCGAGTTAAAGTGGATGTTGGGTTTACGGATTAGTAGCGTAGCGAAGTGCTATTGCAAGTTTGATGAGGGGATCAGGGAAGGTTTATTTTTCTCCGAGATGTGCTCAGTACCGAGGAACACCGTTGCGTTCCGTAGGAGATCCCGGAGTCTCTCCATACGTACAGAAAGTGGTCAACGAGGGGTTTTAGTGGGTTGAACCCTTTTGAACATTTCGTCCTGGTAACAGAAAATAACGTGTCATTTCATCATATTGTCAACATTTAAAAACTTGGTTGGTTCAGGTTACTTGACACGAGAGGCGAAAGTGTAATAGTCGTATTTGACACTAGTATACTACCCGAAACGAGCCACGTGTTGGTGCAACTGTGAGATTGAGGGTGCGCTTGTCTTATCAGGCTGGAGGTGCGCGAGAAGGCGCCGCTGGTGGTGTTCGAGGTGCTGATCCGGCCCGCCACGCTGTCGGCGGACGTGCGCAAGCAGCGCACGCTGCTGCTGCGGCTGACGCGCGGCTCTGCGCGCGCGCAGCGGGCGGTGCTGAACGCGCTCGTGGCGCTGTGCGCCCACCACCCGGCGCTGCTGCCCAAGGTGCCGGCCATCCTCAAGCTGCTCTACGACGAGGACGTGATCGAGGAGCGCGCCGTGCTCGAGTGGGCGGCCAAGCCGTCGCGCAAGTACGCGCCGCGCGAGCTCGTGGCGGACGTGCGCCGCCGCGCGCAGCCCTTCATCGACTGGCTCGCCGAGGCCGACAGCGAGGAGGACGACAGCGACGACGCGCGCCGCGCCGACGACCTCGACGTGGAGTACGACGACCGCGCGCCGCTGCGCCCCTCCGCCGCCCCCGCCGCCCCCTGCGCCCCCGCCGGCCCCGCCCCGCCCGCCGACGACGAGGGCGGCGAGGAGGTCGACATCGACGCCATCTAAGCCTGCCTTCGATGGCGCCCCTCCCCTCGCCGGCCGTTGGTCCGTTATCTCTGACCCCGATAGTAAATCTCCATGCAAACTTCATATAGATCGTGTACACTCAGCTGAGGTGTTTAGGACTCACTCCTATCCTAAATCCTCCCCCCTCGCAGACTTGTGTGAATTGTTTCGCGGCTTTTGTTACCCGTCATGCCCTTTTACACGCAAAATCTACAAATATTTGATAATTCTCATCTCTTATTCAATAAGATTTAATGTTCGCTCACGTCTGGCTATCGATAAATGACGTTTCGCCATGTGATAACTATGATGATTAATATGAAGTTCATCCTAACCGTTGTAGCGTTTCTACATTTAGAATGGGGACATAAATTGAATCTATTTTATCAATGATGTGCCCCCATTTGCTCAATGATGTAGATGTAAAATTTTTAAACTTACGGATATCGATATAAAGTTTGGTTGTTTTTGTAAACTCTCGTTAAATCCAAGGCGAAGCGGTCGTTCGCGAGCTACGAGCCGACATTAAGAATATGGGAATAGTATAAATAACTTGTCTCGAGCTATCACAAAATGTGCGGAACTATTATTGTGCAATAAAATTCCAATTACGCCCCCTAGATTGTAATATAAACTGCAGTTAATATATTATGTAACACATAGATTTAATAGACTCGTATAGATTTAGTCGGCGTCCCCCGCATATGTATCCAATGTATCTCATAAGAGCGCTTCGAAACTAGCCTCTGTAGCACTTTCTATATCCGATAAATTTAATTATACCGTTCCTATACATAGATTTTGAATGTTTTGATATTTTTTTTTTTTTTTCTCTTTCCCTGAATATTTTTCTATTGTTTTGGGATGCTGTTTTTGTGGTCGGCCAATAACATTGTGCCGTGCATTTGATTTTGCATGACGCCATTTTGGAAATCGCGCCGCCTTTGACATTTGTCGGCCGGAATAGTGCTGAGCTCTATCTCTCTGCATATCGATGATATAAATAACTCTAATTGTCGATATTGAAATTTGATGAATAATTTTGCCGCCGCAACTGTCAATGGCGGCGCAGAGGCAAAGGTTCCAACTATGAATATGTCACAAAATACAACGTGACAAGTACCCTAGTATGTATTCGATTTAATGCTCCAATCGAAGGATGTTTACATGAAATGCTTTTATGATTTTTGAGATTCGGCTAACGCGCGGGCTTTGTGAGCGGCAGTCATCAATATTTTATTGTCGGCCGCTTTGATCAGCAGTTGTTGTTTCTGAGGATTTAGTTGCTTTATATTTTTCTATTCACGTTTTTGTTGCGTTCTTAACGATTATGGGTTTGTATTATGAATTGATAGAATATTGATTTATCTATCTATCAACCCAGTATTACTTAAAATTATTTCTTTTGGTATCTATGTTGATGCTGCCGCAAACGCCCGCGTTCTCTCCCTTGTTACTTGTACATGTTTCTAGGTTAGTGCGCAACGGAGCGTTTCCTCTATTATTGAACTATTATGAATAGAATATTTTGAAATTGCCACCTGACAATTTTAATAGATTTGTTTTGTATTCAATACATTTGGATTCTGAACGCACTTGTTTTCATTTACACTTACCCGTCCCACCCCCACCGCATTTGTATTGCAAGTTAGAAGACACGGCCGGTTTCTGAAACACTGATCATCTCTTTTAATGATCAGAATGGTCAATTCATGATCATTCTGATTAACCATCCTTTTAGCGCCTTAAGTAACATTTGAAAGGCCATTTGACAGCTAATTAGTTTACTTCTACGATGACCGTGTTTCAAAAACCGGCCCTGAATAAAACCAAACCCAACAGTTCGGACGAGCGGTAACATATGATTGATAATACCAATCCAAACTTACGGGTGGATATATTTTAGTTACTATAAGTAAACGGCCGGTTACAATGTTGTATTTATCTATATATTTGGTTACTGGAGATTGAATTTTGAGTTCCATAATACTTGCGTATAGACTTCATATGAAATACCTATTGCTAGTAACCAAATCATTAGATAGAATTCAATTCTCTATATATAATATAATAACCGTTTTCAATTGTTTCATATACCATTTAGTATTTGAGAATCTGCAACAAATGCGTCCATTTTAATGGACTATAACATTAATTTGTAAAAATGTTTTTTTATGAACCAGTGACAACCTCTTCATATAAGATCCAATATGTGGTCGGTATTGAAGTTTATTTTATACCTATCAGTTGATATAAATTGTTGTGGCTAACCCCCTAACATCAGTTATGATGATATAAATGATAATAGAACTGATAACAACACTTACTAAATTGATATAGTTAAAATGATACTAATAATATGATATGATATTTATGATAATTAGGTATGATATTTTGAGAACGCGTGAACTGATTGATTATCGCGGTATATTTTAATGCCTACAACGTATCGATGCGCTTTAGGTAAAAAGTGAAAACAAAGCTGTTTGGTTCCATAGTGAACCGAACATAAACCTTTTCGGCCAGAACCGCGATCTCGATGGCCCTTAGATGACACACCATATCTAACAAACAAAACACTCAATTATTTATTCATATTTTATTCACAACATGAGGTGGGAATAACAATATTAAACGGTATATAGAGTACAGAAAATGTTACAATGGAATTAATACTTTAGGGTATGTTACCGTATTAATCTCGGGAGTTGTTTGAATCAACGTTTCATACTCCATGCAATGGCAACCCTATTGGACCCTGATCATACAGCTTCGGAGCGAAGTCTAACTTATATACATCTATATCGTCCAAATGCTTACAAAACGAAATTATGACTTCCTTAAGTGGTAAATAAGAAACACTTCAGTAGCTTTTATAATCAACAAAAAAAATCTACCGAGTGACGCAGTGGAAAATGAATAACTCTGGTCACGTGGTCAAGTTATTTTTTAATTTTAGAAAGGTTAACTAGCACCTTAACCTCTGCGGTTAGTAGTGGGACCTTCTAGACTTGTTGCGAACGTGGTTGGCCAGACACAGCCCGAACACCACCGCCACGAGCTGAAAGCAAATGCCGAATATTAATATAAATGTATGTTTCGTTTCAAATAACATTAACATGAAGTGATTGGCTTTTTTTATGTTACAAAGTGGCAAACGAGCTGGCGGTTCTCCTGATAGTGTGTGATGACCGCCGCCCGTGGAATGTCCATATACAACCCGTAGGTTGCAGATGCGTTGCCAACTTTAAATAAAGTGGGCCCCGGCTACTTCACTCACCAGACGAAACGCAGAAATGTAACACTTCTACTTTACGCCGGTCTTCTGGGAGGTCGTGGTACTTATCCAGACGGATCCGGACGGACAGTTTATTTATCACAGATTATGGCCTTTTGTAAAAGGACATAAAAGCGATGTATTTTCCTTTTCTCTTACATTATTTATATACTTTTTTGTACGTAACTTTGGTAAGACAAACGATTTAATATTTTAAAATGTACACTCACCTCGATGGCGACAATTATTATCGCAACTACACCTATAGCCAGGCCGAATGTTTCGAGGAGGTCCTTGACCTTGTCATCGCAGCCGGAATAGGCGTTTATGATGGTGCACGGCGTGGACGCGCAACAGGTCTCCGGCAATGTGATGTTCTGGTACGACAGAGGTCCGTTGGGGCCGCAGCATTGGAACTGTGCGAAAATGCAAAGTGTAAATATATAGTTTGGCGTCCATTTTTATACACATTTTAAATCTCATCTTAAGCGCAGAGAATAGGAGCACTATGGAAATCAAAATAATTTGAAAATATTATTAAAACGATCAACAAAAGATACCACACTTAAAGTTACGGACTATTTATTATAGCTATTGTTGGACGTCGGTCTTCCAAGGACACCCCTGTTAGGTTCCGTAGGCACAGACTACAAAATAATAATAGTTTAATGCACTGGCCGAGTGTGATCGAATATAAATCATTAGTGAGGTACTGATACTACAGATTTTATTTGATATCACCAAAACAAAAAATATGTCCTTTCAGTGATATATTTTGTTCAACTCTACAGTGCAATAGAGTCCGCAACACTTATGAATCAATAAACATGTTACTATTAATTTTGTTCTTGAGAAATCTTATCAGAAATTTTATTACTTATGACTTGATAACATTGTTTTTTTTTAATTTGCACCTTTGTTCTTATAAACTTTGATGTCATTGATTTAAAAAATTTCATTTCAAAGAATATAACTGGAACACATAACTATAAACCGTAATATAGGCCGGCCGACCTCTAGTAAAGTAGTAAAAAAATTCTTTTTCTGGAATTTTTATTATATCTTCCTTGGCGGTGATTTCTACTCTGACTTTTAATCTACAGAGAGAATCCTGTTTGACCACAGTAATTTTTTTTTCGTGTAGCATTAATAGATAAAATCAATTATTGTTTGATTTTTAATTATTTAGATTAAAGTTAGAGTAGCCGTGGAACGGCAAAACTTCTTATAATAATACGTCTTATAGTAATATAAAAGGCTCCGAAAAAATAACAACAAATAAAGCTTTAATATAAGCTAGGTATCTATTATTCGTCGGATTCATTAAAAATACTAATTTCATGTGCATATAACATAGTTTAAATTTAAATATCTTTGGTAACATCGTAGAAGTTAACTATTAAATGCTATCAGGCTTTTTAAATGTCATTTTGAGTTGCCAAAAGGATGGTTAAACTATTTGAATTGATCATTATGATCAATAATTCAGGGAGTTTAACCATTGATCATTGTTGGAGAAACCGGGCGTTAATATTAACCAAACTTTGTGTCGTTCCGTAAAAAATATGTTATTTCCTATTTCACTTTCTTCTCACTTCTGTGGCATCTGTTTCACTCACCGTTCTTTCAACCTCCTGGAACGCCACCCGGTCCCTGTTAAAGGCCTCGTTCAGGAAACGCGGCACTTCTGATACCACGCTGTCCAGATTCACGAATATCAGAGTGGCGAGGGTGATCTTCAGGATCATCAGCACAATCATTAAGATCGAGAACTGGAAAGAGTTGATTAGAAGATGTACTTTACATGTGTAATTTATGTACTTTATATGTGTATTTTGGGTCTTCAATATAATTATAGGAGTCTAGATAGGAAAAGAAAGTTTGACACTATAATTCAACAGCCAGTATCTTACTAGCTCTATCGCAATATAAACTCCTGGAGTTGTAATAACCCAAGTTTTCTTAATGCCAGAGATATTTAGATCGTGGATATTATTTTTATTGAAAAACCAAATCTTATGTTAACTTAATACGACTCCAAAATACTGTCTGAAAAAGTAAGGATTCCTCTTAAAGAATCTGTATAATTTATAATAACCGTCACGTGTGTTTTTTTGCGGGATTAATAAAAGCTAGTGTATGATCTCTACCACGAATCTGCACTTGATCCTTTTCATTTTGTTTTATAATAAAGTGCAATTATCTTATTATTACTTTCCGATGTGAACTATCTGAACTTCGTGCATTTTTATCATAAACGATTTAATAGTTGCTATATAAAAACCTCAAATCATTATAATCAAAGAAAAACTTTCAAACCCGTACCGTGACCAGCATGCAATTGCTCTCTCTGATCGCCCCGCAGCAGCCGAGGAACGCAATCAGGAATATGATGCTGCCCACCACCATGGACGAAATGGGGGCCACCTGGAAGCTGACATCTGCTATGTTCACCACGGAGGCGATTTGCAGCTGAACAGCAATCCCCAGCCCCAGGAGCGCTAGACCTGCAAGCTGTAAAAAAAGACATTTGAATGTGTCTATTGACTTTTCAAATTATCTTTACATAATTATATAATTCTTCCGTACCTGTGTATGTCACTCCTAAAGGGCTGGACCGATTTTATTGAAATTTTTTGTGTGTCTTCAGGTCGATTTGAGAATGGCTTAGATTCATAATTCGTTTTTTTTTTTGTTTATAGTTATCGAATCGAGTTATCGAAATAGTTCAATATGTAAAACTAACGTTTAAAATTTAATTTTCATCTGGTATGAACTGCTGACCTTGCAAAGAACCAGAAAAGTCTCATTCTTGTTTATAGACCAACTAGAACATGACTGGACTGCTTTAGAAGTACACAGACGTTTAGAAGTACAAAAGATGTTCAGTTTTTGAATACGCAAGCAAATTATGAGTTAAACACTATTTGACATCAGTTTCTTCCTCGCGAAGTTTTTTATATTTTTATAATTTTCATACATTTTTATATAAGTTGTGTAAGATTTGATTTGTTAACCAGTATGTTCAAAATATGTTGTAACGTGATCAAATTAATACTTAATTTGATCACGTTACTTCACTTAAAACAAATTAGTTTTTGACGATCTTTTAACGATTCCGAACATCTTCTGGTTTAGTCACGTGTTTTTAAAAAATTGGAACTATTTAGTTGTGTTATACTTTACAATATCAATTTCATTTATCATCTCGCTTCACATTTTTTTTATGTGACAAAGTGGCAAACGAGCTGGCGGTTAACCTGATGTTAAGTGACAACCGCCGCCCATGGACATTTGCAACACCCGTAGGGTTGCAGAAGCGTTGCCATCTTTAAATAAAGTGCGCGCCGGCTACCTCACTGACCAAATAAAACGCAGAAGTTTAACACCGCTTCAATTTAACACTTCAACTTTACGCCGGTCCTCTGTGAGGTCGTGGTAATTTTACCCGGACGGACCTGCCCATTCGTGCAACAGTGAATACCATTGCGTGGTCCTACCACAGTTAAATGACATTATAAATGTATTTGTATACTTTTATACTATATCTAATAACTTTTTGCTATCTAGGCGTAATGCTGCCGCGTCTACTGAGTGTATGTACATATAGCCTATTATAATTTTTACCTATTATATGGGCCCGAAATTACATGGCCGGTGAGTCTAGGACCACAGTTTTCTTTTGATGAAGTGTAAACGAGATTAATCATCATGTTACATCGAAGTCGACAGGTAATTTAGTTCCTCTTTAGGTCAATAATTACAAGCAAATCTTAGGAAGACATGTAAGCTCCTTTTCAGACGCAGACGAAGCTTTTAAACAGCCGTGGAATATATATTATGGTCTGCCATTTTAAGTATATATGTATATATACATATATAAAAATACAATTATCAATTCGTCATCATCGTTCCTGGAATAGTTTATCGTTCGCCCAAGTCTACTTATCTGGTGGCTGTATCTTATCTGTGATTACAATTGCAGTACACCTTTACGGATATTACTAAGTGTTTCACGGAAACCTCTTTAGGCTAAAACCGAATAATGACGTGATTTTTTTGCGACTGACGTAGATATCGAAAAGGAGTTAAGCGACTATTTGTAGTACTCCTTCACTGGGCAACGACAGGGTAACACCATGGATAGACATCGATGCGACGGTATCGGACCTCGACGATCTGTAGCCGAAAACTCCCTTCGTTTCATCATTGCCCTCAGCCCCGGATTTAGAGGTCTGGAGGCCTCGAGACAGCAAAGGAGTGGAGGCCCTTTGGCCCAAAAATATTTTCCAAATATAATGAACAATTTTTTTCAGTCGAGTTTTCCGATATATAATTTAATGTGAAACCATGTATAGATTCTTTTATTTTTTAACGAACATGTAAATATAATCGGAAACTAGAATTATCTAAAATAAAATTTTTGCGTTAACGAACGGAACCCTCCGAGCTTTTTTCGCCGAAAAATCGTTGATGTTTTCGGTGAAATCCAGTTCCCGAAGCAAATTACTTTCAATGCTCAGGAGATAAAGCTTTGATTTGACGGTTTTGTCCCATCGTGGTTCGAAGCCTATTTTTTATCATTTTCATTTTTGAAAATGAATGCTCTGCAGTGCAATTTGATACCATCAAAATAAAATACATTCTCAATGCAATTTCAAGGTTAGGGAATGTAGCTGTGAAATTTTGAACTTAGTAGTATTATTTAGTAGAATTTAGTAGTAAAATGGTTCCGGAGTTGGTCTTTTCCATAGTCCTTTTTGTATGAGCCGATCAAGGGGTACCTACAACTGCCACATTATTAGTATTATTTCACCAAAAAGGGTTTTCGTTTTTTAGTTATATAGTACTTTAAAAAGTTGTGCGGTACGCTGATTCAGTTCTCCTTTTTTAATTACATTATTAGTTCGAACATTGGTGGATCAAGTTAGAAAACTCGTTAAGATCACAGTCATATTTTTATAAATATGAGGGCAATCTGAACCCGATCAAGAGTTAGAATCAAAATTTCTAACTCCTTCTATCAAAGCTAGCTTAGAGAAAGTGAGCATAAATCGTAAACGGATCATCCATCCATATCACCATCCAATTTGACAACAGTTCACAATCCCGCCAAATAAAAATAACCTCAAAAAACTACAATCCATTAATCTACACGGCCTTGACTTGTGCACTTCTGTTTGAATGTACCCAATGATATTTTATAGTATTATATTTTATATTACAATATAAAATATCATTGAATGTATCTAACAAAGGTATTTCCCGGCATTTTAACATTTTTGTTATCATGCAAATGCGCCTCAAAAAACGAAACTAAACGGCCGCAATCTGAACGGATGACCCTACCCAAATACTATTATGAAAACAAGATCGATGTTCGCCGATCAACCAAAATGGCGGCGGCGGCTTATCAGGTCCCGATAAGGCGATAACGTTCCTATGAAATCGGGGTTAACGCAGTTCTATGCTCGAACATAACGAATATGTCTATTTCAGCATGCGATTATTTCAACCCGTGCAGTGAAGGAAAATATCGCGAGGAAAAGTATTAAGAACGTATCGGAAGCATAGATTCTAAGTCTACGATCTGAAGTCTGCCAATCCGCAGTGGGGTCGCGTGGTGCACTACTAATACCCTCTATACAGAGGAGGCCTTTGCCCCGCAGTGGGACATGTAGGCTGTTACTTTAGTTGCGTTTCTATAAATTACTTCAAATATCTTTACTCAATATAGAGATAGTATTACACTAACTTATTGATTGTCAAAAAACACTACTACTGGTTCGGAAAACAAGCCAAGGACCTGAGAAGAACCGGCGAAAGAAACTCAGCGGGACAATTTTTTTAAACATAATTTGACAAATATAACAAACATGTATACAATATATTCAATTCCACTTGAAAGAACGTGGACCGATCAATTCATATATGGTCTTCACCCTACTTACCTTCACCTGTGTTATTTATGTGTATAAGTGTAAGATTTTAATGTGAAAAACGAATCTATCAACTCGATACAGTTATTAGGAATTTTGCATGGCCATTAACAACGAATAACTATTATAATAAACCAGTGGCAGTCGCATGGCTCATCACAACGATAAAAGCTGTTAAAAATGTTTTTTTTTAATGTTTTGGCAAATATACATTTCTAAATATTATATCTATATCATCTGTCGAATATTGACAGTCGTTATTTGAGATTGAATGAAATATTACAATTGATAATTTATGCACAACATACAGCGTGTCCTGATAGTCAACATCAAACCCTACCATTTGAACACTTGTAATTAAATTGAAATCTTTGAGAAAAATAGTGTTATCCCAAAATGATTGTTGAACTATCTGAATTGATCAGAATGATCTTTTTAGTGATCAGGAATATCAATTCAAAGGGTTTAACCTCCTTTTTTCAACTCAAATAACATTTGAAAAGCTATTTGACAGCTGATTTGTTGACTTCTACGATTATCAGGGAAACGTGAACGTAAACGTAGTACATTCTCTTTGATGATCAGTGTTTCAGAAGTAAGTGTATAGTTCAAGTAATTTTAGTGATTTCATAGTAGAGGAAAAAAGAAATTTTATTTTTATGTATTAAAAAGGAAACATTTATTTTTATTTACAGGTATACCAACGCTACTGTTATGTACAGTTTAATTTAAACATCTTCTTTTAACGTGTATTTTTAATGTCTTTTTTGCATTGATTATTAGTAATCGTAATGAAGTAAGTGGACTCATGGATGTTCGTTGGAAATTACTTTTGACTGAGCACCATGTTTATATAGCAATTGGTCACTTATTGTTCGCAAAATGGTGCTCGAACACTGCTGATATACTGACAGAGATAACAGTCACAGACAAATGGTGAATCACGACATTGCTTTGTGCAATGAAACGTTCCTTTGCGTCATGTACCTACTCACGGTCGAAATTAAAATTACAATATAGGCCGTGCGTCTCCTCTCAATCTACACTAATTACTGTTGCTAATTATCAATTACCTTGTTTACAAATACAACCACCAACCACAGGGTTTCAGCTACAATCTTTATTCTTATATCTATTAAAATGGTATATAACTACGGTAACATAGTCTTAATTATGATAGTTTTGGAATCAAAACAAGATTTTAGGTAGTTATTTGACATATTGTTTGTCATAATTTTATTCGAATATATAATATATGCTAATAACGGTAGGTCATTGTAGATAATGCATATTGAGCTTAATGTTTATTTCGAAACCTCGTTTTGCGCATAAGAATGTTATTCCCATTGGAATCAACTTATACCATAAACCAAAGGAAATTCTTAAAACGTTAAAAAACCTTACAAAGCAGAGACTACGTCTACGGTGGTAGGGCCACGCAGCAGCCTCGGCTGTTGCATGAATGGTCAGGCTCGTCCGGGTAAGTAGCACGACCTCACAGAAGACCGGCGTAAAGTGGAAGTATAATACTTTCGCGTTCCGTCTGGTGAGTGAGGTGGCCGGAGCCCAATTTTCAATAGGTTGTCAACGCATCTGGAACACACGGGTGTAGTAGATGTTCATGGGCGGCGGCATTCACTTAACGTCAGGTGAACCGTCTGCTCGCTTGGAAACTTTTCACATAAAAAAGACAAAAAATAGTAAATGGAGTTTGCAAACCTTTGTAGAAGAAAAAATGGAGTGAATAAAACTATAATTATTTATTATTTTGTGATTTCACAATCGGATAACCCAAATACTTAAATATCCTTATCAAAGATATAATTTGCAATAAAGATACAGTCGATGAGTACGTCTATACCTTTGTAAATACTTCCTACATGTTAGTTAGATCTGAAGTCTGAAGTACTGTGCCCTCATGTAAATATATCTTTACCTATAGTTTCCACTTCCATGAGAATTAAAGTACCTCATTTTCGAACATCATTCTTAATACAAAAGATACTTGTTGGAAAAAATAATTAATCTTTAGTTTAGCTGTAATTGGAGTCTCTGAGTGCGTTTGTAAGACGTCCTAGGACATCTTTCAAGATGCCGTATAAAGATTCCTTTTATTTCCAAACGATTACATAATTATTTACATTTAATTCAAGTAAAAATTTGGCTATGATGTAAACAAATCATGATAAATGATAATGACGATTATTATCCAAGCAAGTGAATCAGACTTAAAAATATGGATATCAGATATAAAACAATGTCGATAAAAGATACACACTTATTTTTTTCTTCTTTACATGGTACCGCAATAACGAACCTATACCTAGTTTTTAACTAACTTAACGATATTATGATTGAAGGAAAATAATTAACGTAACGAATTTAAAAATGTTTAAATTTGCACGTGGAGGGTAGTTCGACAGTTAATAACATTAAATCCAGCCTGCAACGTGTGTGGACATTATAAGTATATAGTCTTAGGTGTAACAATAGATAGTTAAGGTTTAGATTTTGATACAATATATTTAGGTAATTTCATCAAAATTATGTATACTTTTAGGTGTAACGACATTGACATGTCAAGATCTAGATTTTTCGAAAATATTCAACTGTAGTTACTTTCAACAGGATCATTATATGGTATTTAGTCATAACGTTACAACTATACATGTGTCCGTTATCAAGATTCAACATGTTGTTAACGCACACTCTGTAAAATCAATTAGGACGTAGATAAAAACGCGACGCGCTGGTGTGAAGATTTGAGTCGTAAAATTTATTAAAGTAAAACGTCCACTCACCGCGAAGAATAGGTTCGTGAAGAACAGTATGTATTTAACCAAGAATTCACCGCAGCCCATCTTTGGTGTTTATATTCAAGTTACTATAACACAATAAAACAGGTGCGCTCGCGCCGAAATAACGTTTTCCACTGATTGAGAGGCGCGGGCGATGGCGGCGATCGTTTAGGTTATCAGCGCCAGATAACCAACGGGCGTTTGACGACGCGGGGAAATTGTTTGTAAGCGGTTTTCTCGCGAACTGTAAACGTCAATTGAAACCCATTAATGACTAATGAATGTAGCTATCTATGCGCGCGTATGAAGTACATTGGGACGCGGTTGGATCACGTTTACACCCTTGGAAAAATTAAGTTTTATTGGAGACGGGGCTTGCCATTTATGTCAATCGCAGTTTTTCAACCGACTTCGAAAAAGGAGGAGGTTCTCAATTGGAGTGTATTTTTTGTATGTTTGTTACCTCAGAACTTTCGACCTAGTTGATTTTGGATCTTGGGCTTCATCGGTATTGGATCTTGGGCTTGGCACGTACTAAGAACTCCTGAAAATCAATTATAAAATGAATACAGAGCGAGATAATTGAAGTCGGTTGTGTTATTCGTTAATAAAAGAATGAACTTGTTGTGGGATGGTAAGCTTCAAAAGATGTCATTCCTCACATGACAGGATTGTGTGGGGTTCGAACCCACTAAAAACCCCTCGGTGGCCACCTTCGGTACGTTTGGAGGGACACCGGGTGGGACTCTCCTACGGAACGCACCTGTGTCCCTCGGTACTGCGCGTGAACACGCCTCGGAGAAGGATAAACCTTCCCTGATCCCCTCATTTTATGAGCACGAGACTACAGTGCTTGGTCCTCTTTGACCTAGTCGATGAGGACGATAAGCAATCGAAAAAGTTTTCACTTTCGCACGTTCTATGAAATGGCTTTGGGGGGTAAGGGGTCCCAACCATCATCTCTCAGGACCCAAGTCAACCTCACCTGCTCGCGGTGCCCCCTGCCGAACAGCGAACGAGGCTCTGACGACCCACCAACACGCACTGGACCAGCGTGGTGGGTTATGGTCCAACCCCTCTATGGAAGATAAAAGATGGCGAGGCCCCGAGTGCCCGGCCACCCTGGCGAGACGGGCGTCAGTCGACTGACGACTCCGGTCCAAAGTCGCGGAGATGGACTGACGACCTCGCGGGACTTCGTTGGATGCAGGCCGCTTCAAACAGATCGAAGTGGAAATCCCTAGAGGAGGCCTATGTTCAGCAGTGGACGCCTACAGGCTGAAATGATGATGATGATGATGATGAAATGGCTTTGCATGGAACATAATCAAAGAGTAGAAAATATGAATAGTCAAATAATAGACGATAGACACGAGGACGGTGTTTTTAAACGGTTTCGTTTATTTCTAGTGGTCTTTCATTCGATAAGTAATAAATTTGATGACGTTATTCAATAGATGTTTTAATAAGTCGAACATTCGAGAAGCACCGCCTGAATACGATGCCTTTACCACTAAGTCCATGTGGCTCTTTCAAATAACCGATTTATACTTTACAAGTTCGAGTTAGCTTAACTTCGAGAGTTTCCACTCGCTTTGCAAGTCAGTATTGTGTTTGTTTACTTTGAATTCTTTGAATTTCTCCAGATATTGCAGGGCCACGTAGGATACTCGGATGTTGGAGGAAAGACGTAAATTCTGAAGTATTTGCATCTTTCCTCCAACATCCGAAGCATTTTAGCTTTACTATTTAATAATTTTAACATTTACTTATCCAGAAAATGATTTCATTATTTTGAAATAATATAATATTACGAATGTGACTTCAATTTTCGAAATTAAAATATTACTAATGCGGAAAATAATACTTTACTCATAAAGAGATGCTCGCGAGATCTAATAAAAATTTTATTGATGATTCCAATTTGCATTAATCTTTCCATTAGTCATCCAATTTCGATATATTTTTTTAAACGATACTTTTACAATATACAGATAAGCATTAAAAGGTGACCTGGTAAAAGAAAAGTTGGAGGATGTTTATCATTTATTATTTGACGTTCCGCCTATTCTTGGTACGGGAATATGAAATTTCTGATTTATTTGACTAAATTATAAATTTGTGCTTCTTAAGTCTCCGTAGACTAGCACTAAAAATAAAAATTAATAATAACACCAAATATTTGTCTAACTTTAATAATAACACCAACTAATAACGAAAGATTACATACCTTTGTAGACAAGAAGCTACATTGTATAGCCCACTAGCGCAGCGTTAGAACCTGTTATCAAAGATCGGAAAAGTAACGTCTCTCTAAATTAAATGACTTGCTTCAAAACTAGCTGTTCGTCCGCGTGACATTTAAAATAAATAAAATTTCTAAAATAAGAGTAGCCTAAAGGCCCATTTACACGATGCCATTTTCTTGAACATACAAGGGCAATAATTGAATGCAATATTTTGCGCGCAATAATTGTTTAGACCATTTGTTGTTTAGACCATGCAACTCATTTATTGCTTCAATTTAATTGTATACAACAGGCAAGAAACTGGCATCATGTAAATGGGCCTTAAGTCACTTATTACACCTATGTGCTAGTGAAAGTCCCGACAAAATCAGTGCTAGTCGTTTCAAAGATTAGCCGGAACAGAAAGACAGACCGACAGACAAAAATTGTAAAACATATTATATTGGTATATGTACCGTGTATAAATCTTAATATTTAATATTAAAATTCTTAAATTTTAATATTACGCACAGACACTCCCATTTTATTTATCTTTAATTAGATGTGTTAGGTAGGTCACGGTATGTAATGAAACTGAATAATTTTATAATATGTATGCGTAAAGTAGTATGACGAATATGTTCATAAAATACATTCATCTTTCTAGTTTAAAAATCTTTTATAGACAGGGCCGGATTCAGAGGTCTGGATGCCTCGAACCACAAAGTAGTGGAGGCCTCTTGGCCTCAAATTATTGTCCAAATAAAATGAACAATTTTTTTCAGTCGAGTTTTCCAATAAATAATTTATAGTGAAACCAAGTATAGATTCTTTTTTTATTTAATGAACACGGAAATATAACCGGAAACAAGAAGTATTCTGAAAAAAATTATATATATTACTAGTCTGAATTTGAAATTTTTCGTCTGAATTTGTCTGTATTGTGGGGGGTATCTTTTGTTGAAGCCCTCCCCTAAATTAGGCCCTGAACAGGAGTAATCTCGGAATAAGATTTGTATCTATTGCGATGGATGGATATAATCTTTTTTATTTGACATATTAAATATTTGGATTTAAAAATTGCTAATTTAAGTTGACAGGCGTTCACCCGAATATATATTTTAAGAATGCTTTACTGGCTTGTATCTTGTATTAACTGATGTTTTTGCTTTCAGTCCCGAGACTATTAAAGCTTCATCTGACGCAGAACCGGTGGGCTAGCCAGAACCCACGGGTTTGGGCCCTCCGCTGTGGGTAGGGCCGCGCATGTGCCCATGCGTGCGTTTAACTACGACATGTCATCTAAGGGCCATCGAAGTTGCGGTGCGGACCGAGACCCCGATGGCCGTCGACTGTGTTTTTAGCTAATCGGTGGCTGCGGGCGGTGAGAACCGCCCTGGAACGCGGGTGTACCTTGTGTACGCGTTGTGTTGGTCTCGCCGTGCTCGGAGGCGAGCGCGAACTATTGTGTTTGTTGGTACACTAGCTGTGGGTGTAGTGTTATCCGGCGGGACCCCCGGCGGTGGGTCCGGCGTATCTAAGTCCCCTTCCTCGACCGGGTCGATGAGGACGTTTCGCGGGCGACGCTTGTTGAGGTTCGCGCTTGTGTCGGGTTGGTAATTTGCTGCGCTTACCACCAGAGGGTTGGGATGATGTTCGGCTCTATCGAAGAACCGTTTTGTCAGATCTTTGAAATATTCGCGAATCGTCGGGAGTCTGCAATCGCTGTGCAGATCGACGTTGCTTGTACAGATCGACGTTGCCTGTGCAGATCGACGTTGCATGCTTTACTGGTGCTTTATTTATAAAACGTTGTTTTATCAAGCTGAGAGATAAAAATTGTTCAATAGTGAAATATGTAACGGGAACTGACTCATTATATAGAGATATACAACGATTTTTTGGCGAATAGTTTATTTTTTATATTCGCGTTCGATAGATTTTTTAGTTATTATGCCGAATAAATAACGATAATTTATGTAAGCCCTTCCAAATGCCTTAACATCGGTATAATTTTTTTACATTATTACAAGTATTTCATACGCATGTATTTGCGTATACAACTTATTGTGTGCATGTATGTTATAAGACTAATTTGTGAGTTTTATGGCTTGTAAGTTAGTTTCAGAATACATGGTACAATAATCATAATGACGGGGAATAAAAATAATTTGATAATTATATGCACAATGTGACTCCATTGTTCTCATAGTAATTCCCGAAGGGTACTCCCCGACCTCCTTCGAACTAATAATTTCTGTGCCCGGATGTCACACTCACATAAAGGAAAAACGTTATACATCGTCCGTAATCACAAATTATTGTCCTGAAGAACCCAGGTTACTTACCAGTATGTACCCTTTAAGTGAAATTATAAATAGCTATAGTATTTGCTTCATTCAACCTTGGATAAATTCGACTAGTTGTTCACTTCTCTCTTTTTCAGGTTAACTCGCGGTACACAAGGCTTATCTTCATTTTAGTCTAAAAAAATAAAAAAAATGTCCTGTCACCGTGACTTGCCGTCTTTACTTGACGTCTTTAAATTTAACACACCACATATCATATTTAAGATAACCTTGCGTTATCGGCGTGTTGAAGATATTATGTAAATTAAATTGCAATATTTAAAAAATCCCAAAAAGAAATTTGGGACGATTCTTGTTATCGTACTGTTCGTTGTCAAAATTTAAATTTAGAAATTTACTAGGTGATGGTAACATATAATATAATCCAATTTGTTTTATTTCTAACAAGCGACGCTGGTTCAATTCAGCTGTTATCATGTTTTTTGCTTGAAGACAAAAACACAAAGAAAGAGACTATTTTGGGCATAACCTTCATAGGCATACATAGAGCAGTACACTTAAGCTTACATTCGGATTTTTTATGACGTAGTAAGCGAGCAGGCGATTAATCTGATATAAATAAAATAGAACACCCTAGGACAACTATAAAGCGTTGTCCATCTCTAAAACTGAGCAAAATGGGAAAAAATGGGCCTCTGTTATCTAAATTACCAGACGAAATGCCAAAGTACCATCAACACAGTCTTTTACGAGTCTATTATACTTCCTTGGACAAAATGCATTTTCGCGCTAGAAAATAGCTGCTGAGTGGCCACAGCATTTATATAATACTTCCTCATCGTATAATGCGTGTTAATGGTCCAAGAACGCATTGAGGAAAAACTATATTAATTTTATTAATGTGGAAGGCATGATTATTCGTACTTGCACCAAAGTAATGTCAATAACAGATACAAAGCAAAAATAGAACCCACTCCTGACTGGTTAATAGTTTTGTGATTGTACTGAATCAAAGACCACATCTTACTGTGGTAGGGCCACGCAATAATCTTCGCAGGATTGGCCAGGTCCAGGTGAAATACCAAGATCTCATAACAGTCCGGCCTGAAGTAGAAGTTTCATGGTTTTACGTTTCGTTGGTTGAGTGAGGTGGCCAGGGCCCACTTTATTTAAAAGGTGGCAACGCATATGCTAGCCTATGCACCGAGAGTAAACGAATTTACATATTGTTCTGATTTCAAAACTAAACTCGGTAATGCGATCTCAGCTCCTGCAGGTAAAACCGGCAGTTATTATCGGCGTCAAACGTTGATCGCGTGTTTCCGTACTATTAAACAAAGATAATGGCAGGCAACACTTCTGTTCGTAGATAATTGCATGTGTTAATTATACAAGGATACTGCGAAGGGTCTTTTGTTCGCATTGATTTTGATCGTGCGCACACAAGAACCTGTCTGTCTATGTGTCTACTATAAAACAACAAGCTGCTATTTGGGAAGCGGCCTGGCAAAAAAGTTGTCTAACAATGCAACAACGCATTCATTTATAAATGTGTAATTATCAAAGGCATATAAAGACATTTTACATTCGTATACGTCATTACAGATTA